TAAGGATAGAACCTGGTGTCTCACGCGTGCTACTACTCTACCAGTGGTACTACTCTACCACTGACCTACAACCCCAGACCCCAAATTGACAATTTTCAACTGCTTATTCTTCTAGACAGTAGTTTACAAGGTGCTTATGGCAGAGCCTTTTGTTTTAAAGAAATGAAAAGAGAGGGATCTTTGAGCAGGCAGGGTTGTGGGTTGTGCTCTGTTATCTAACAGAACAATTTAGCTTTTTTTTTTTTTAATATTTATTTTTTAATTTTCAGCGGGCACAACATCTTTGTATGTGGTGCTGAGGATCGAACCCGGGCCGCATGCATGCCAGGCGAGCGCGCTACCGCTTGAGCCACATCCCCAGCCCACAATTTAGCTTTTATCAATTTCATACATCAGTAATAATTTTAAAAAACATGATTTTCAGAAAATGACACCATTTACATTATAAACTATTTGTTTTCTAGGAATAAATCTACTGAAATGTTAAGCCAGACTAGTATTTTAAAAATTATAAAACTTTACTGAACAGAACAAAAGGATAGTTTCTAATTTTAATATAGTTAAAAAGGACATTCATGGTCATTTTTTTTTTATAATTTAATGTTGTAAATATGTCAGTCTCCCTTGCCCTTAACAGCTGTCATTGATCTATAGATTTAATGCAATGATTACCTAAAACCCAACAAGTCTTTTGTATGGAACTTTTCAAGTTGATTTTAATATTTTATGTGGAAGATAAAAAGTCAAGAAAGAATATTGTAAAGACTAAGAAGAAGAAATTAGTTTTGTATATGTTAATATTTAGTAAAAAGCTATACCAATTTAAAGTTATTTTTAAACAAAGCTCAGAAAAATTAGCAATACAATAGAATAAAGAGCCTGGAAACAAACTGATGTATGGGAATTTTCCATTCAATGGAGGTGACATGGCAGATCAGTGGAGAAAATGGAACTGGGACAGCTCGTTAGCCATGTGGGGAAAATAATTGGATTTCTTCATCTTACCATATAAAAAAATGTCAATTCTAGGGTTTGGGGTATAGCTGAATGGTAAAATGCTTGCCTAGCATGAGAAAGACCCTGGGATCAATCACCAGCCCCCCAAACAAACAAACAAAAAGGAAAAGAAAAAAGAAAAGAGAAAAAGAGACAATTCTACATAAAAATCTTAAACATCAAAAGCAAAATGTTATAATTTTATATGAAAATATAGATGTATATTCATCTTTCCTCAGAGTACAAGAGTATCTTAAGAGGAAAATGAGGACTGGGGTTTTAGCTCTGTGGTAGAGCTCTTGCATAGCACAAGTGAGGCACTGGGTTTGATCCTCAGCATCACATAAAAACAAATAAATAAAATAAAGGTTAAATTCTTTAAAAATAGAGGAAAATGATAATCATAAAATAAGTCTAAAATTAATTGTATTAAAATTAAGAACTACTCATTAAGACTTCTTAAAGTGAAAAGATGAAATATAGCTGGGATATACTGCTTATATTTGCCAAATATCAATCAGTAAAGGAACAGTATGAACAATACATAGAGAACTCTTGCAAATAAATAAAAAAGAGAATTTATAATTTTTCTAGAAGAACTTCAAGACCATTTTAAAGAAATATATTTTGTACAAAAATAAATAAGCATGTCATAGGAACAGAAACATGTATGTTCATTAATATATGAAGAGATGTTCAACTTCAATTGCAAATCAAGGCCACAACAATACAAAATTTTTAAAAGTTGTGGTAAAATATGAAAAATATAAAACTTACCATTTTAAAATGTATAATTCAATGGCATGAAGTAGATTCACAATGTTTTGCAATGGTTATTTAGCTCCAAAACTTTTTCATCACCCCAAGAGGAAATTCCATATCCATTAAGCATTTATTCTCTCCATTATAGTTCTTCCTCAAACTGTTGCAACCTCTTATTTGCTTTCTGTCTCCATGCATTTTCTCATTCTGAATATTCCATGTAGTAGAGTCATATAACATGCAGAATTTTTGTTTGGCTTTTCTCACTTAACATTTTTTTAAAAAAGATTTATGAATATGGTATCATGTGTCAGTACTTCACTTTTTTTAATGGCAGAATAAATTTCCATTGTATGGATATCCATATTTGTTTCTCCATTTATCAGATAATGGAATTTGAGTTGATTCCACTTTTTGGCTATTGTGAACATAAGTTTCATAGTACTTTGTAGCCATTTGACTGGCAAGAATGAAGAAGCTAGACAACACCAAGCACTGAATAGATCTTTTTAAGGAAATGTTGCTAATCAGAGTGAAAATTTATTTAACCATGTTGGAAGAAAACTTCGTATTATCTTGTGAAATTGAACATTCACATCCTCTACAAGACAGCAATTTCACTCCCAGGCATATATTTAAGAGATACTTCAGCATAGAGGTACCAGGAATCACACACAAGAAAGTTAATAGCAGTACTGTTCCTAAGAGTAAAATATTTGAATCACTTGGGTTAATCAGTAGACATTTATTTTCTCTCTCTCTTATAAATTTTTAGTTGTAGATGGACAAAATACCTTTATTATTTATATGCAGTGCTGAGAATCAAACCCAGTGCCTCACACATGCTAGGCAAGTGCTCTACCATTGAGCTACAATCCCAGCCGCCCGCCCCCCCCACCCCAATACCTTTATTTTATTTATTTAGTTTTTTTTTTTTTTTTAATGTGGTGCTGGGGATTGAAGCCAGTGCCTCAAGCATGCTAAGCAAGTGCTCAGTGGAGCCACAACCCCTCCTCTCCCCACCTCTTTCTTTCTTTCTAAGGAGTTCTGTTCTACAGGAAAGAGAAAAAACGGAAATGGGGATTGAGTTTTTTTTTTTTTTTTTTTTTTTAAGGTGAGAGAACAGTAGTAAGCAGAAATATGCATGAAGCACTGGTTCAATGGAAACCTTTTTTTTTTTTTTTTTTGGCAGTAGTGGGGATTGAACCCAGGGACCTCTGCCACTGACTCATATCCCCAATCCTTCCCCTTTTTTAAACTTCTTTTTGGGGCAGGTACTGGGGATTGAAATCAGGGGCACTTAACCATTGGGCCACATCCCTAGCTCTATTTTGTATTTTATTTAGAATCAGGGTCTCACTGAGTTGAGACAGGGTCTCATTGAGTTGCTTAGGGCCTCGATAAATTGCTGAGACTAGCTTTGAACTTGTGATCGTCTTACCTCAGCCTCCCTAGTTGTTAGGATCACAGGTGTGCGCCATCAAGGGCTCCCTTCTCCACCCTTGTTTGTTTTTTGAGACAGGGTCTCAGTAAGTACCCCAGGCTGGCCTTGATTCTCCTGCCTGAGGCCTTGAATCTCAGCCTCCTGAGTCACTGGGATTATAGGTCATACACCACTGCACCCTGCCCCAGTTTAAGATTGACCTTTACTTGCCCTTCTTAAACCGCTGGATCAAATAAGAGAATATTGACTGATTATTTTTTTTGGATATTTGTTTTATCTTTGGTATAGAGAATTCTATTAGTCCATCTTCCATATCAACACAGAAATTGGTTCCAACTTCCCATATACTTTCATTCGTATAATGTATGAAGTAATCAGCTGTCAAAATGAACTATGGTTACATGCAACCACATGGATGAATTTTAGTAAGAAAGTATTGAATGAAAAAGGTGAGTTGAAGATTCATGTAATAGTATATACTTTTTTAGAATGTTTAAACACAAAATTAAATGATGTTACTTGAACATATTATATGTATGATAACATGAATGCACAAATACAGAATTCAGGACAGGGATTATTTCTCTGGGGAAGTGAGGAGCACAAGAAAATCAGTACACATGACTCACTGCTAATCTTTTAGTTTAGTGGTTCTCAGACTTTAGCACGCATCAGAATCACCTGGAGAATGCCTTGAGAATGTGGGGAACGGGGCCTAAGAATGTGCATTTCTAACCAAATTCCAGATGCTTCTAGTTTTCTGCTTTCCTGGGGAACATACTTTGAGAACCATTTCTAGTACTTCACTTTGGTTAGATTGTGGGTTCACAGGTACTCCATTCTTTTTTTTTTTTTTTTTTTTGGACTGGGGATTGAGCCCAGGGAGCTCTACCACAGCGACATCTTTTTATTTTTGAGAGTTTCACCTATGTTGCTAAGGTTGGCCTCCAACTTGCAATCCTGCTGCTCCAGTTTCACAAGTAGCTGAGATTACACGGCACCCAGTTGTTCCATCCTTTTTTTTTTTTTAAATTACATGTATATCATGAACCCCTAAGTTACATGAGGGAGCACTTGGAATGTAATTCAATGGCAAAGCCCTTGTCTAGCACTGGGTTCAATTCTCAGTACCACAAGGAAAAAAGTATCAATTAAGTGGGGAGAGGGTGTAACCCAAATATGAGAGTGTGTTATGAACTACAGACTATTACTTCAATTCTGGGCTCCTGAGGTTTCTCCTGCCCCCAAACTAGAGTCCCATTACTAGAAGCAAACTTGAAAAACACTCCTAGAAGATTATCAAGACCATTAAAAAAATATTAACAACTCCTCTTGAAAAATAAAATTGAAAATTATTATTCTTTATGTGCACAGCAGCAACATTGCAGTCAACTTCCCTGGATCTCAAGTGTCTATGGGAAGGATTTAGCAGATCAAATCTACATCTTGATTCAGCAAATACTGTTTACATAAAATATTTCTCCAACTTTTTCAGCTCTTATTCTTCCCTTATGTTCAGGTTCTGAAATAAAATTTAGATCGACTTTTCATATATCGACCAGGGCATATGCAGAGGAATGTCCTGCCTAGAAAGGGAAACAGATCCATGAGTGTAAAACCACAACTTAGAGAAGGGAGCTGAAGATATTATAACAGAAAAGAGGCTATTTTTCCTCCGACTTCCGCCAAGAAATCTACTGGCGCAGAGCCTGTGGAGGATGGCAGCGCGGGCGGGCGCTTACGGCCGAATTCCATTGGTTTTCCGGGCGGAAGCGTTTGGGCGGCTTGGCTGCGCATGCGCCCCTCACACGTGCGTTTAAGACACCGCCTCCACAGCTTAGGCCGGCTGGAACTATGCTGCGAATATCTGTCCTCAGGCTGCTGGGATACTCGGGGACCCGCAGGGTCTCTCTCCTGGAGAGTTCTGGCCCACGCCACTATGGTTCAGGCTCTCAGTGTACCCGCGATGATCCTCAGGACACGCGCGCCTACTTCACCACACCCATTTTCTACGTGAACGCGGCGCCGCACATCGGACACCTGTATTCCGCGCTCTTGGCGGATGCCCTCTGCCGCCACCGTCGCCTCCGAGTTCCCGGAACTGCCGCAACCCGATTCTCTACCGGCACCGACGAGCACGGTCTGAAAATTCAACAGGCGGCGGCCACTGCCGGCGTGGCCCCGATTGAGCTGTGCGATCGAGTCTCTGCCCAGTTTCAGCAACTTTTCCAGAAGGCTGGCATCTCCTCCACCGACTTTATCCGCACCACGGAGGCCCGGCACCGGGTGGCCGTGCAGCACTTCTGGGGGGTGCTTAAGTCCCGGGGTCTGCTCTACAAAGGGCTCTATGAAGGTTGGTATTGCGCCTCTGACGAGTGCTTCCTTCCTGAGGCCAAGGTCACCTGGCATCCGGGCCCGTCGGGGGATTCGTGCCCTGTATCTCTCGAGAGCGGGCATCCTGTCTCCTGGACCAAGGAAGAAAACTATATTTTCAGGCTTTCTCAGTTCCAGGAGCCACTACAGCGTTGGCTGCGAAGCAACCCTCAGGCCATCACTCCAGAGCCATTCTATTATGGAGTCCTTCAATGGTTGGAGGAGGAGCTACCGGATCTATCTGTTTCTCGAAGGAGTAGCCACCTGCACTGGGGCATTCCAGTTCCTGGGGACGATTCACAGACCATCTATGTATGGCTGGATGCCCTGGTCAACTACCTCACCATAATTGGCTACCCCAATGCTGAGTTCAAATCTTGGTGGCCAGCCACATCTCATATCATAGGTAAGGATATACTCAAATTTCATGCCATCTATTGGCCTGCCCTCCTCTTAGGGGCTGGATTGAGCCCACCACATCGCATCTATGTCCACTCCCACTGGACAGTGTGTGGCCAAAAGATGTCCAAGAGCTTGGGCAACGTGGTGGATCCCAGGACTTGCCTTGATCGATATACTGTGGACGGCTTCCGTTATTTTCTTCTTCGGCAGGGTGTTCCTAGCTGGGACTGTGACTACTACGATGAGAAGGTGGTTAAGTTGCTGGACTCTGAGCTGGCAGATGCCTTGGGAGGTCTTTTGAACCGATGTACTGCTAAAAGAATAAACCCTTCTGGAACCTATCCAGCCTTTTGCACTACCTGCTTCCCTAGTAAGCCAGGGTTGGTGGGACCATCAGTTCGTGCTCAGGCAGAGGATTATGCTCTCGTGAGTGCAATGGCTAGTTTGCCCAAGCAGGTAGCAGAGTATTATGATAATTTTCAGATCTATAAGGCTCTGGAGGCAGTGTCCAGCTGTGTTCGGCAAACTAATGGTTTTGTCCAAAGGCATGCACCATGGAAATTGAAGTGGGAGAGCCCAGCAGATGCTCCCTGGCTGGGTACTGTACTTCATGTGGCTTTGGAATGTTTGCGTGTCTTTGCAACTTTGCTTCAGCCTGTTACCCCAAACCTAGCTGACAAGTTGCTGTCCAGGCTGGGGGTCTCTGCTACAGAGAGGGGACTTGGAGATCTATTTTTCTTGCCTCGATTCTATGGACATCCATGTCCTTTTGAAGGGAGGAGGTTGGGACCTGAAACTGGGCTTTTGTTTCCAAGACTTGACCAGTCCAGGGCTTGGCTGGTGAAAGCTCACAGGACCTAAAAGCTCATTTCTTACTGGCTTGGGGTAAAAGCAGTGTGTTATTCTCATTTTCAGGAAGGTTATACTAGTGTTTTCTGAGCACATACTCCATGTGCCCATGAACAAAGGTTTGTAGCCTTTCAGGTGATGACTACTTTCATTTCTCCATGCCCATCAACCACTGTCTTTTGTGCACCAATGTTCTAAGATGTCTCTAGGGGAAAAATGGGTAAGAGAGAAAATTGCTGATATTTTTCCCCCATTATACCTCCTCTTAAACCAGAGTTATGTTATTTGTTTGCCCAAACTACCTCTCATTACTTCTGCTTCTCAGGCCAATAAGTACAGTGACTCCTTTTATTGAGAGAGGGGTTGGAGCCTCCCAGCCTCAGCTTTTATAGGCTAGCCCTACTTTGTTAACATATTGGGTGTCTGCAGATTCTTTTAAAAACCATATGATTTTTGCCCATATTCATTCCCATTATTTAAACTCCATGCCTACTAGGACTTCCTACTTTGTCAGTCAGTCCAAACAGTTGTGTTTTGTAGCCTTACACTTCAACCAGTAGATGGCTCTAGTCTCTAGTCTCACATTTAATTACTTAAAATTGAAGTTTCAGAATTAAGTTTTCTGCTAATTTCACTGGGCTTTAAATTTTTATGCTTTTCTTGATGATGAGATATCATAAGGGATTTTTTTTTTTTGTGTGTGTGTGTGTGTATTTCTGTGGTATTGGGGAGTAAACCCGGTGCCTTGTCCACGCTATCCACTCTACCACTGAGCTATATCCCTAAATCTTGACTCTCTTAAAATAACAATTATTTGCCACCACTGCTATTTCGATAAGTTCTTTTTTTGGTGGTGTTGGAGATTCAAGCCAGGACCTTGCGCATGCCAGGCAAGTGCTCTACCACTGAGCTACATCCCCAGCCCTCAGGTTTTTTTTTTTAGGACTACTGAAAAATGACATTTACCTTTTTTTTGGTACCAGGGATTGAACCCAGAGGTGCTTAACCACTGAGCCACATCCGCAACCCTTTTTATTTTGAGACAGAGTCTTGCTAAGTTACTGAGCCTGGCTTGAACTTGTGATCCTCCTGCCTGTCACTGGGATTACAGATGTGTGCCACCACACCTGGCTGACATTTATTCTTATTGACAGGCTAATAAATAAATGTATAAAGTTGTTTATATGATAAACTATAAAACTTGCAGAATTTGGTATGTTAATTTTAAACTTTACAGGTTACAGATATAGCTAACAATTTGTAAATACTTTAAAGTAATGTTTTCTGTTTCTTATAGGCTTAATTTTGTTATCCACATATACTAATTTACTTTGATTTCTTATTGGTCAATCAAAATAATACAATGTAGAAATTGTATAGAAATTATAAATATTAATACGCTTACTTTCAAGTAGATTTTGCTGTTAAATTCTTTTGATGTTTTAACTTATTAAAGTTTAAAAGTTTATAAGTACCTTATTCAGATCTGTTCTGTTGCATTTGTTGAAGGTGATGGTGCAGGAAGGAAATGATCAATGCTCCAGGAATCTCAAACTGGATTTAGGGAAACTCCAAGGCTCCATAAGAGAATATCACAGAGAAGATGTTAAGGTATCAATTTATACAGTGATTATAATATAGTAAGCCAGTGTTATAGCTCAGGTGATTGGGCAACTAGGCCAAAATTTAACATGAGAACATGCCTTGGAATATCCATTCATTGTATGGTAACAAGCAGAGGGCTCACTCTGAAGTAAACTATTGTCCTGGTAGTTTCCCCAGATTTATTTTAGGTGCCACCATTCAGCTCCAGATTCTCTTTAAAATGATCAAGGTGAGGGATTCCTGGTTACTTGGAAATACTGCTTGGAAAAGAATGCTTGAAGGCATTCTAAAGTTGGAAGGACCATTTCTACAAATGTTCCCTTTGGACTCTTTATCATTTTGGGCTTTTGTATTCTGGTTACCAAGACTAGAGCAGAGTGAAAGATGTCATTTGTTTACATTAATGAAGGAAAACATTTGGAAAATCAGTGAGATGATAATCTCTGCCTTTGTTAGTGCTCTTATAGCATTGTTACAGTTCCTGTCACGGACTAATACACAGTTATCTTGCATTGATCTTTCTTATGGCCCAGTGCTGATCAATACACAGAAGTTGGTTTGTTGGAGGGTGTTAATATTGAGTTCTTTTTTACAGACTGTTACTTGTGCAGACACTTAACTTAGATATTTGTAGTACTGGAGGTACAAGAAAATAGGAGAACCAGAAAAAGAGAGGGCATAATTACTACAGAAGACAGGATATTTTGAGTGGAGGAGGGTAGTAACTTGGATCTCACTTCTGTGATGATATGGAAGGTGAATCAGTCAGATTCTCTATTGGAGGCACACTATTGATAAAACAGATACCATTTGGGTACTCAGTTGTGTTTGGTTTGATCCAGTAGTTTTAAGAATGGCAAGTAGAGGACAGGTGACATTTAAAATTGGAGGGCATGCACTTTAAGAGGGGCATCCTGTCAGGTGTGGTGATACATGACTGTAATCCTAGTTACTTGGGAGGCTGAGGCAGGAGGATTTCAAGTTTGAGGCTACCCTGGGCACTTAGTGAGACCCTGTCTCAAAATAAAAAAGGCTGAGGATAGCTCAGTTTTAAAGGACCCCAGGGTTACATCCCTAGTACTATGTAAACACACACACACACACACACACACACACACACAAGGCATCCTAATAACTTCTGGGAGATGACAATAAACTTAGCTTTAAGAATCCTCTTATTCTAGAACTGTTAGTACCTTATTTGGCATCTTGTAGGTCCCTTTATCATAAGGAATTTTCTTCCAAATACTACTATTGTGGTTCTCAAATATTCATTTTGGGAGCAGTGTTACGGGAGGGACAAAGCACTGTTTAGATCAGGTATTCCTAGGTTGTCCTATTAGGAGAGTAATAAGATGTCAGTAGACAGTAGTTCAGTAGACTATAGTCCTAATTGGCAGAGTATATGTTAAGTGACAGCACTATATAATGGAGACCTGTTTTATAAGCATACTGGGCACCTTAGAAGTTGGAAAACCAGTAACTATAGGAGAAGCAAGAAGTAAATACAATCTCTGATTTCACTGAAATCTCAGTTATTCCAGAAATAGACCTCATTCTTTTTCTTGAGGACCTGTGGACTCTATAAGGAATGTGAAAAGAAATTGGATATGAAGTTGATGCCAGAGTACTTGAGAAAGGCATTGGCTATTGGCTGTAAGATGGGTCCTTGGGCATGGTGTTTTTTTCCTCCAAATTTGTACCTATGATTGGGATGTAGCTTTTTAGATCCAAGAAGTTCTGAAACTGGAGAGAAGCTAGCCACTAGTTGTTCATGTTGTAGGCCTCCAACAAGGATGACTTACAACCATAAAGTTGCAGCAAGTGACAGTACCAAGGTTCCTTTAGGCATTATGGTAGGGATGGGTTCCTGGATCTCTGACTGTTCCACCTTTACCAGGTATATAGTGGCAATTTTGGCCTGCACTAGTGTAATCTTTAGTTATAGGGGAGGTTAGGCCTCCTGGCTAAGATTTGGTGCATACAGCTGCTATAGATAATCTGTAATTGCCTTCTGAAGACAATGTCCTAAAATCTGTAGTCCAACTAGATATAGAATCACTTATTGGCGAGGTCTGGGGTGCTGTAAACCATGGTGGGTCCTTTCCTTGTCTTTTGTTAGAGAGTGAATATTAGTATACCCAGAATGACATGGACATATTGGTAGCCATATGTCTATTTTTGCAGCAAAGGTGTATTGGGTCAGCAAGTTTGAGGGGAGCTACGGCACAGACTGGGGTTACAACACAGAATCTATAGGAAATCCTTCAAATTCCTTGCAAAACTAATGGGTATTCATTCTGCACAGCATAACTGGTTCTGCCCCTTCCTCTTGAAGGAGCTTTGGATAGGATTGGTTAATTTTATCAAGAGGAACATAATTTGGTTAGTATTACTAGAGGATCCAGAACAGTAACAACTAAGTTAATAAGATTAATTAGTGGGATTTTTAACCTTTCATGAAATGTGGCTTATTTCTGGAGTCAGAGAATAGAAGCCCAGCCTAAGCTGGCATTCCTACATCTTTACTACTTTGAGGAGAAAGGAGGGGACTCACCAGTTTGGAGGTAAAATTGGATTCTTTATCTTAGTTTTTAGATAGTCTTGGGTTACCCAAAATAGATCTTCTGAAATCAGGGAATCATTTTACAGAATAGTTGAGCATATTTAAGTACTTATATTTAAGACTACATTTCATTAGTTAGTTTCTACTTATATTTTCATGATGAGGGAAAGGAACTGGGAAGAACCACACACCAAGAGGATCTTCCTACGGCCCTGACAACTGGAGCAGATATTGGGAGGTTCAGCCATACCTGGATTGTTATCAAAGTAAGACTATGGTATTTTTTCCCTTGGCCATGAACTTAATTGTTTGTGGCACAGTTACTCACCATGGATTTTAAAATCCTCAGCTCCTCACATAAGAGCAGGAAGGTATGAGATGTCAGGATGTTTCAGGAAATCAAGTATGCCACCTGCAAGAAGAAAATTGTATCTCCAAGGAGAGATGAACCCTGCCCTTGAGACATTAAGATTTTTGGATGGAACAGTGGCAGAAGGCCTGAAAGACTCACTGGGTAAGTTGGAGGGACAGCTCTAGGAATAAATGGAAATGGAGGATGCTACCTGTTTTAGTGTATGGTATTGGGACAATGGTACTAACCTCTCTATGCGGCTACTCTCAAGGCCACATTTTGTGTGTATATCCATCATTAGTTAAGAACCACTGGTTTATGGGACTTAACATGGAGATAAATCTTTAAAAATTATGATTGACTGCTAAAGGTTGGAATAATTGTATTATTCTCTTAATATATATAATAAAGTTATGACCAATTATGCATTTTTTTCCTAATGGTATTATTATTATTTTGGTATGGGGGACTGAACCCAGGAGCACTTAACTACTCACATCCCCAGCCCTTTTTTTATTAATTTTTAATTTTGACACAGGGTCTTGCTAAGTAGCTTAGAGCCTTGTGATATTGCTGAGGCTGGCCTTGAACTTGCAATCATCTTGCTTCAACCACTGGAGCCACTGGAATTACAGGTGTTCACCACTGTGCTCGGTTCCTAAGGTATTTTTAAAAGGGCAATAACTTTAACTTTTGAACACATTAAATAAAACAGTTTCAGTAGTTTTGCTTCCTTTAAACTAGTCTTAAAGTTTCTATTAAAAAATCTATATATATTAATATGAAATTAGTATGTTACACATTTTAGGTTAATGTTAAATAATAGAAGTAGGATGTATTTCTTTCAAGCCAGACAAAATGTTTAAAGAAAACTCAATCTAACAGAAGATGGGAAGGAGGAAAAAAAGAGCAGAGAAAAAGGAAAAATATGATAATCAGAGAACCCTCAATATGAGGGTAGAAATAAACACAAAATGAATAATAAAATACTTTATATGATAATATCCTGTCAAAAGATAAGTGTTCAAGATTAAACTCAACAAAAATAGAGAAAGCAATATTAATATTAGGCAATCTAAAATGAGGTGAAAACTATTACCAAAGATAAAGGGGACTTAGTATAAAAGGAATAATGTACCAAGTTATAACAATTATAAACTCAAAATGTTAAAAGCTATGTTGAAAATAGCATTAAAAATAAAATTGCCACTCATGAGTTCAGAAAAACCATTTGGTGAGAAAGTGAAAATATGGTAATTCATAGTAGACATTTGCATTTCAGTCTTTAATGCTTATTACTAAGTGTATCATTACTGCTAAGAATAGGAAAAGACATAGCAGGCAAGGTTTTGTTCTATTTATATTCTTGTCTCTGTGAAGATAATAATTTAAACTGGTGTTGGCTAAATATGCTTATTCAATAAGTCCTCTCAGTAGGTTATTAAAAGGGAAGAATCATATAGCTATGATTTTGCCAAATTTTCTAATTAGTAATAAGAGAACTAATGGTTCCTTATTTTATTCCCTCATTTACTTTTCCTATTAACGCTATGAGTTTAAAAAAATTTTTTTTTTTGGAGGGCAGCGCAGTACCAGGGATTGAATTCAGGGGCACTTGACAACTAAGCCACATCAGCCCTATTTTGTATTTTATTTAGAGACAGGGTCTCACTGAGTTGCTTAGCACATTGCTTTTGCTGAGGGTGGCTTTAGAACTTGTGATCCTCCTATTTCAGCCTCTTGAGCTGCTGGGATAACAGGTGTGTGCTACTGCGCCTGGCCTCTATTATTCTATATTTCATATTCTATTTTGATAAAAAAAACTCAGGCATAGACAGATTAAGTAATTTGTCTAGGATTATACAGTTTGTAAAACAGGATATTGGAGACTGAAATGTGTTCTCCATGCCAGAGTCTCTGCACCATCATAAACACTGAATATATACTGAGGGCATGTTTTAATCCAAAGATCTGAGGATAAAAATGTATAAATAAGACCCTTAATTGAAATTCATTAGTGTTTCAAGATAAGGAATTAGTTTCTCTTGACAGATTATGAAACAGATGAATACCAAAATAAAAACTTAAAAAACTTACCTTTTTCATGAAATATGGGATACTTCACTTTTGCTTGCAGTAGTTTCCTTTAGATCTTAAACCTGCTTATGTGTGCTCATGCAAATTGTTAAATTTTATGGTAACGGTAGAGTCTATAGTTTGTTCCTTTTCCTTACAGTTATTTTTTTATTATTTCCAAAATAGTGCTCTAAATTCTAGAATCTAGTATTTCTCTTCTAACTGAAAGTATGTTGTTAAAAAGTCATGAAATCTAAGTTATTTTGAAATATTTTTACTAATTAATGCTTTAAGTACACACTTATCTCTAAACATGAAAATAATAATCAAGTTTATTTGAATTGACTATTATAGTAACAAAGCCAAAGAAGTTAAGGCCAAACACTAAAATTTTTTCATTTCATACATACAGTTTTAATACAAATGAACTTAATTACTAACAATTTAAGTTCTATGACTTTACTGAACATTACTGTATTCTTACAATATCTTTCCTAACAAGCTTGCAGAAACCAGATTAAATGCCCTTTGACTGCAGTTATTACCAAAGCAAATATACCTTTATTGGCTAAAATACCACATATTAGATAATTTCTGATAAATTATACCTTGTATCATAGTTGAGACATTTTCTTACCCCCTCAAACTAGAGACTTTATTATGAATTGCATAAAGAATACTTAGTGTTAAGTTTCACATTATTTTATTAAATGTAGTTATTTTGTTGGGCATGAGTTATACCTTGAAGAAATGTAATGCACCTATTTTTATGTAGGTCTCTTAGTTATTATGTAAAATGTACTTTAAAAATATATGTAAGGTATTAAAATCCTGGTTAGGTAGGAAGGCCAAAAAAAACCCCTTAATTTTAATTCTATGTTTAAATAGTTTCTTCAGGATTCTGTTTAAATGCAGGCAACAAAGTCCTATAGTTAGTGGGACAGGATGGATACTTTTCAGCTTTTTTATGCAGAGTAAGTTATGACTTGTTGCAGTATCAGACTGATACATCATAAAAATGGTCCTATATAGCATATTTTAGAACTTTTTAGAAGTCAATTAAAGAAATTTTTATAAAGGCTTTTATAGAGTAAAGAACCTTCAATCCTGGTAAATTGAAATTAGTGTATTAACTCTTTATATTTAAATTTCTATAAAACTTATTTTTTAGAAACTTCTAATATTTTAAATAAGATACAGAACTTTTTAGTACTAAGTTCTGTTTTGTTTTTAACTCATTACTTGGAATGTAATTAAAATTACAATGTGTAAAAAGCCTATTTTAGTGTTACAGAAGAAGATTATAAGTACTAACATGAAATTAATTATTAAAAATATGTATGGTTAATTGTATGAAAGCTGATGGTTGGATTTTCATGCCATTTCAGAGTTGGAAGGAGTATTTTTTGCTTGGAATAAAGGAAGTATTTTTAACATTCATTATGGTATTGTCTAACCTAGTATAAAATGGTAACGGTTACCTAATCCTTAAAATAGGAAGATTTTTCTTATTTAATATTGTTCATATTAAATCAGCCTCCAGAAGGGAGTTGATTCATATTCAATTTTAAATAAAATATTTTTGGATGTAACTGATGTCATAATATTAGTTTTCTAGCTTAAGGAGAACTTCCTTTTTCCATAATCCAGGGAGATTATCTAAAGGTGGAGCTATCAGATCTGTGGCATAAAAACTAGTAAATGTATAATTATGTAGCTAAATGTAAAAATTGGGAAATCAACGTGATTTCAGATGGAAAAATAGTGGAGACTTATTATTTAACATTGAGAATAATGAGAATGGGGCTAGCCAAGTTAAACCAAGTTATCAAAACCCATCATCCATAAGTTTGTTGAGGTAGATGTTTAAATATTCAATATATAAATATGTGTAATTCTGAACTGTAAGCAAATTTTCAGAAGATTATAACATAAGTAGGGCACAGACATAAAAATTTCTTTGGTACACAGGACTGTTGCTGAGTTTACTTAGACAATATTAAGAGATTTACTATGTTATTTTAATTGAAAGCTATTTTCACAAACTGTTGGATGGAGCTTGTGTAAAATATTACTGAGGTTAACTTTGCTAGACAGTATCGGGTATTTACATATGGCAGAAAAAATTTACATGTATTATTAGTATCTTAAAAATTTTGCATAATGGTCAGATACTAATAAGGATTTTAGGAAATTTTCTTTTACATGTTGCTAAATATATGTTATGTAAGTAGATATCGTATAACATTCTTTGCTTTGGTACCAAAGTTAGACATGTTAAAAACAAAGATCCTAATATGATTAGCAAGAAACACATTGTAAGTATTAAACCACTCAAATGATTAATGAACACTTTAAATTATTCTTTAGATGTTTTTTTTTCCAAAACACCAAAGGAAAAAAGATACTTTTTTAGGTAATACTTTTTAATATTAATTAAACATTCCTTTATATACTGTCTTTTATAAACTGGTTGTTTCAGAACTATCTGAGGCTAAGAATGAGGTTTTAGTCTCCATTTCTTTGTTCATTTTTATATCATGACTTATAAAAAGGACCTCAATAATTAAAAGCCAAAACATTGATCTTTTATAGTTATTAAAGCAGTTGTTTTTGTTATCATGAATATGTTACATTATCTATAAAATAAGAAAAAGGTATCACAATTTAATCAGTAGTTTTAGGGGGAGTTATATTAATATATTTTCATATTACCTCTGTTTTATATTTTATAATCTAGACAGAGAAATGTAAGCTTCACAGAATTTAGTGAAAGTAGTATGGAAGTAACAATACCTTTGGGTAAAGAACACAATTACCTAAAACAAATTAGCTAATGAAAACCCTTTAGTGTCAGTCTTTTTGGAAGCAAAATAAACTCTCAGACTCTTGAAATTTACAAAAGTTTTAGAACAAAAATGCCTGATATATGCTGAATAAGTGGGAATAATAAATATAGGATTAAAATGTATGCATAAAAATGCCAGATAAGCTGAGTATTAAATAGATTGTTTCATGATATTTTGACCAGTGCTTTAGTAACAGAATACTGGGTCTTAACACACAGCATGTTACTTTCAAAGTAACTGCAGCAAAATGAAATTTTCTTAAATTGAGGGAGTAGCCTTAGGATGTACCTGAATATTCTTTAATATAATTAGGCATTACATTTTATTACTTGACCTAAAATATTTTAGCTCAGAAATATTAGGATAATATAACCAATATATATACACACACCCATTATTCTTTTTGAGGCAGGATGAAATAATCACTCCAAATTATTATTGGATTATCACCTTCCTGATACTATAAGAGAGTTTGTAAGCAAGTGTTAGCTATGTCTACAAATATGAAACACCTGGAATAACATTGAAAAATCCAAACAGTAAAGTTGTATATGAGATTGTCATGTTGGTAAGATAGCCAGATGACGACAAAATTTTCCAAATTTTAATTTAACTTGGTGTAGACAAGAAATAAAAATATTGAAATTCTTGTACTATGCAATCAAATTTCACTAAATTCTAGAATAAATTTCCATACAATTTAAATACTGCTTATTTCTATGACTTATTTTTATTGTTTTATTAATAATCTAGTCTTCTACAAAAGGATTATCATGTTTTTATAGAAGAAAGTTGGGATATAGGGCAAACAGGAAGCATTTAGAGAAAAGTTGGTGTGGCTGTTTTTAATCTGTAAAAATTCTGTAACAATAGGCAATCATAGCTTCTTTGGATTTGAAAGTGAAATATGGGTAAGTTTTATTTGGTTAAGGTTAATGTTTTAAAACTCTAGAAATCTCACCAACTAAGATCTGAATGAAAGATAAAAAGGACTATTGATAGTGTTACTGTGTTTAAAGAATAGATATCAAATCTGACATGATATACATAGTGATGCTTATACTTGCTAAGATGCTACAAAAACCCTTATATTTCCTGGGTAAATGACAAAATAGGGCCAGAAATAGGAAGATAATCTTTAAGTATAGAATAGTGTCAACTTTGGCTGTAGAAATTGGTATGAAACAAATGGTCACAATATAACAGATTTCTGGATATTTTATAATACATAGATTATAATTTTGATGTGTTAATGTCTCAAAATTTCGAATATAAATCTAGAGTTTGAAATGTTTTATCAAAACCGTTTAATATAGGTAAACTATACACAAATCTAAATACAGTGAAACCAAAATAATGTGGAAGCTAGAATCTACTACATTTTATCTCCCTAAAGAGATAGTGTTTTTAAAAATTTTACTATATTACAACAAATGGTCTGTTGCTAAGATTTTCTGTATATGTCATGGCTATGTCTACAAATATGAAACACCTGGAATAAAATTGAAAAATCCAAACAGTAAAGTATATGAGATTATCATGTTGGTAAAATAGCCAGATGATGACAAAATTTTCCAAACTTTAATCAAGATATTTGTTGTCTTATAAATTTTCTTATATTTGGTATAGGTTACAAACCTACATTAGTTAAGTATATAAATTAATAAAGGAAACCATGATTTAATCCTGCATCTCCAATATTCTGGCTACTAAGATTTCTTTAATTCCCTTAAAAAAGCAAAAACATTTAACTTTAGCACATCTCAAATCCTCATTTGTTAGTAGACCACATATGGGGCTAGTTATTTACTACTGTTGGACAAAATAGTTATTCAAGATTCTACTTAACAGAATCAGTAGAGGGAGGTGGAGTAATAATTGAATCCTGCTCTGAAATCTTTTCTAGGATGAAAGTGTGGGCTTCGAGAATATCGAGGTTTCAAACCTACAGATGAAGGTTGAGAAAAGCTTCTTCTCACAGAATGTAACCTTGGTTCCTAGTAAGAGATTTAAAGAAAATTAGGGTTTTAATGCATTTTAAATGGCTCTAATTTTATAATTACTAAGGGAAAGATTTTAAAATCAGATTAACTGGGCCTGAATTCTGAGGTGTGCTTTGGGAAATTTCCCCTGAAAAGAGTAGGTTATTTTATAACCTGCTTACTGGACAGGGAGGCATGCTAACAGCTATACAAAGAGCCTCACTACAAGGGATTTGTGAACAGCCATGTTCAATGATATTTCTAAATTACTAGTTATACTTAATTTTGTTTTGTCCCTAAACTTTGATAAAGATTTGTTACAAAAAAGATTTATGTACTTAAGGTATATAAAATTAGATCTAATCAGTGAGGAAGTAACTATCCAGGAATTATTAAGGTATTCCTATCAGGGAATTATAGTATTTCATGTTATTAGAGTAACATTTTATTTTGTTAACTAAAACATTCAACAAATAGACTCTATGTTCCAACTTATATTTATTTGATCTACTGCTGTACAGAGGGCTTGCTGGAGATTCTGATTTGCTTAAGACAGAATAGGAAGTTTTAGCTAAGGTATAATTTAAGGATTACAAAATGCCTGCACTTCAGAGCACCAAGGTATAGCCAAATCATTTTGCCTAGAAATCTCATTATTTTCTTCTGCCTACTTTAAATGACTTGAGTTTGAATATTGCAATTCAAGAAGAATACAAGGCATGAAGAAAGTAGAGTTCATATTACAAAGTTGATAAAAAACTTTTGAAATAGAAAGTAGGCCAAATCAACTGCCCAGCCTGCATCTAACAACAAAAATTGAATACAAACATTTTACTACTCTTTAAGAACTTAACTAGCAACTTATCTGTAATCAGGGGAAATGAACTAATGTTTCTAAGATATAAAGCAAAATTCTAAAGAGTCATGTTTACTTATATTTTCACTTTAAATGATAGAGGCACTTTGATCACTTCATTGACTTACCAAGACTTTGAGCATGTCTACCAACAATGAAACAACCTGTCAGTACTAGAACAGGTAAATATAGGAGTAAGTCATAAAAACAATGGGTGATTTTTAAAAATGGCGTATCAGATCTAGATACTTCAAGGATTAAAAATGTTTTAAATTGTGTAATTACACAGACTTTGAGTCATTGAAAGATACTTTGTGAAGTTGTTTCCAACTCAAAAAGAAACAAAACATGAAATATTGTAGTAATAAGATAAAGACAGTTAATTGAAATCAGTGTTGTAACACTGTTGTGAGAAAATTAACTCCTCCAATCAATGACCTCAGGCTATGTTTAGTTTTAAGCCTGTTTACAATTTTTGAGCTAAGATATTTCATTAAACAATTATAATAGCCATTTCTCTTTTAGAACTACATCATATTTTATCAGTATAAACAGTGGCATCTGGTATATCTGGTACCTGTTGACAGTATGTAATAAAAACAAACTTGAATAACCCTTTCTCTAAATAGTAAATACTACATGGAAGGTTTATACAAAGACTAATACATGCCTAGCTATAGCTATTAGCAAGAACAATGGGAAAAAAGAAAATATTTGTTTATGCCTGTGAACTTTGTGAATTCAAAAGCACTTGGAAATGTACTATGTTCCCAAGAGTGTATTGGCACAGGCTAGTGGAGGGATTGAAATTTTTCTGGGATACTTAAGCAACTTTGTGTTCCTTCTTCTCACCTTTGATCCTTCTTACATTTCCCAGAGTACTGGCTTATACAGTACTTCCAAAGAAAATTTTCGTTGAGCCATCTAAAAAATTAATTTCTAAAATAATTTTGATTTCTACTATTTGGTTAGGATACTAGTTCATACTTAGGTTACTTGATAAAAGATAACTAAGCAGTTTCCTGTCTATTATAATTTATTTCCTTATTTTAGAACTGAAATATTTTCTGATTGTGACTCCTAGCCACTTAAGACATTAGAAAAGACATTTTATTTTGATGGCCCATTAATTCTTGGATAGGACAAAAATTATTTTGGAAAATTATTATACTTTTAAAGATTGTCTCTTAAACAGCTGCCATTTATTAGTTATTAGAAATTCTGCTGCTTAATGTTATCTTGGGCAATTCTCTTAATCTGTCTAAGTTTCAGTTCTTTTATAAAACATTGTTTATCTCACAAAAATATGGAATGAATAAAATGAGGTAATGCATATGAAGTGCTTGTGATTTATAAGGTACTATGTGTAAATGTGAGGTGTTACTCTTGCCTTGAAATGATAAAAGTAAGCAAAAGTGTTCTAGGCATGATTTTACAGCCCATGAACACCAAAGATAATATAATTTTTACAAGGAAGATTATCATGGACTTTAATACTTATTGACATAATACCAAAGCTTTTCTGTAAAACTACTTGTAATTATATAGCAAATTTAATTAATACAGGTTGTTATCCAGATTTTAAGATTAATATCTTAAGATTATACATGTGTATAGAATAATAGAATCTCTGAGATTCACTATGATTTTCTTATTTCATGTTTATAACACAGAAAAAAAGGCTTATATCTAAACATAATTTAGTCAGTTTATATGGGCACTATATCAATGGCTACAATGGAAAACAAAGTTTTTTTTTTAGTATGGGGGATTGAACCCAGGGATGCTTTACTACTGAACTGCCATAATGCTTTAATGGTTAAGTATTAGAGAAGTTCAAGCCTACCCCTACAGCTTAATCCTTTTCAGAGTATGCTTTTTTATTCTACTTTAATGTTACATTTGCAGTCATGTCTCTGTATACATGGGGGACTGGTTCTAGGTACTCCCAGAAGATACCAAAATCTGCAGATGTTTAAGTCTTTAAAAAAAATATGGCATAGTATTTGTATATAACTTACACATATCCTCTCATATACTTAAACCATCTCTAGATTACTTAGAACACTTAGTACATATACAATGTAAATGTTATGTAAATAGTTGTTATACTGTGTTGTTTAGGAAATAATGTCAAGGAAAAAAGCATCTGTATTTGTTTAATACCAGCACAATTTTTTTATTATTTTCAATTTGTATTTGATTGAATCTTAGATGCAAAGCCTGTGGATACAGAGGTGTTGATTTATTTTGTAATAATACTACATTCCAATTTCCTTGAGACATTCTAGTTTTAGATCTATTGCATGGTCAGAATTTTATTTTTGAAAAATAATTTTTGAATATAATGATTTTGTAGGTTTATTAATATGTCAGACTTCATTGGTCAGTAAACATCAAAAATTATATGATTTTAGTTATTTAAAAAAATATTTTTAATTATAGATGGATACAATACCTTTTACCTTTTTTTATTTATAAGTGGTGCTGAGGATTTAACCCAGTGCCTTACACATGCTAGGCAAAAGTGTTCTACCACTGAACCACAACTCCAGTCCTATTTTAGTTATTTTTGGTGCCTCCTTTCACTCTTACGTATCTTGATTTGAATGATAAGTATATGATCATTCCAATTAAGAACTTGGAGCAGAGATTAGCAAAATCAAGAATATACAAGGAACAACAGTAGAAGCAAATCTTGACATGACCGATAAAACATTAGGGGACCACGTCTATAGGTAAACAACCTTGATTTCTGTAAAGATAATCAAAATCATGTAAGTTTCTTACTCATCTGTGAAGGTGGGAGCAAGATTCAAGAGGAAGTATGTGCTGGAGAATAAGGACTCCTAATCCTGAGTTCATATGGTGATATTTTGGAAAAGAGTAAGGTAATAATCACATTAGAACTTGACAAGTCTCTGAACATGTAATTATCTTTGAGAAAAGATGGAGTTAGCTGGGTGGGTGGTATAGATCTACAATCCTAGCCACTTAGGAGGTTGAGGCAGGAGGATTACAAGTTCCAGGTCAGCCTGGTTAACTTAGCAAAGTAAGACCTTGTCCCTCAAAAGAAAAAGCAAAGCAGGGGGATGGGCTGGATATAGCTCAGTAGCACAGTACCCCTAGGTTCAATGTCAAGTACCACAAAAAGATGGAATTATAATAGTACACATGTTCCTTCAGATAGACCCAAATTACAAGTCTGTCTTACTATAACAGAACAAATTACTGTACTTATAATGAACAAGATTCTTTTGAAACTATATGTTCTGATATTAAATTATGGCAGTAAAAACTGTTGTCAGTTACCTTCACCTAGAATGTAGGAAGACATTTAATTTGAAGAATATTTAATAAAGTAAGAAGATCAACTGGAGGATTTATATGAAGAAATGACCTTTAGGATAAATTCTGGATATTTCCTCAAATAATTAATTTAGAAAAAAAAACAAGGGAAAGGGAATTCTCTGTATACCTCTGAAATGGGTATACAAAATTTAAGTAAAGGGGAAAGTGATTTAGAATGTCATTTTAAAGAGGCCAGCGAGTAGATTAAATGGGTTGTCTGGTAGTAAGTTTATATTCCAAATCAGTCTTTAAAGAACTTAAGAAAGTCCAGTCTAAAAACCAAACACATCATCTTATCTAAAGCTTTCCAATGTTTTTTCACATCATAACACTAGAAAATGATAATATTCATAGGCACACAGGCTAACAGGTCTGCCTGCGCTGTGGAGTAACAGAAAATTTACAGTATTCTTTTTTTTTTTTAATTTTTAGGTGGACACAATATCTTTATTTTACATTTATGTGGTGCTGAGGATCAAACCCAGTGCCTCATGCATGCTAGTAAACACTCTACCACTAAACCACAATCCCAGCCCCTTGGATTCTTAATAAGATAATAAAGTCATTTATTTCCTAGTGGGTGGGTGGATGAACTTAAATATTATGTTTTAAAGACCATTAGTGCAGACAGAAATACAGTTATTCCAATTCTGTAGGGAAGCATCAGTTAAACATTTGATGTGGTAAGAGCTAAATCTTAACAAGGAATTCAGAATTTTCTTTGTCTCACAAATTAAATATTGGTTATTTTTTTCCAACTAGAAATAAGTCCACAAAATTTTGATGTATTAATTACATGTGGGGATTT